AGGATGGTTTTATGCTGTTAGAGTGAAGCCCTATTATGTTCAGCTCTGCGCTGTCTGTCTCCTGAGGATTAGTCACAAAGCACTTAAGCATGTATTTATTTATTTATTCACGCATGTTCTGGAAATATGCAATAGACAGGACACAATGCTTAATAGTGAGAGAGGGTGATGCAGACCATTTTTGCCCAGTAGAGGCAGGCAGCGTGGGGCAGACGGGAAGATATATGGTTAGAAAATAAGGCAAAAGTGATAAATGCCCCCAAGTAGCACCAAGCAAAGTGCTACAGACTCTCAGCGGCAGAGGTTTATACATCAAGCTAGCAGACTTTCTCTGTCATCTAGGTGACAACCTTCAAACCGCCATTACTGTTGCAAAGAATTCCGGGATGGTTCCTCAAGGGAGCCGAGTGATCCTTGTCGAAGCCAAGGAACCAGAAGAGTTTGCTCCGGCCTCTGTGACCTGGCAGCTGGTGGAAAACCAGGCGAATGGAGGGGTAAGAGTGTGAGCACAGGTTAGCGAGGCCCCTCTGTGGGCCTGGGCTGGAGGAGTGCAGCCCGCTGGCACCGAGTAGCCTGCTCTCCGCCCTCCGCGTTATCGCGGTAATCATCCCTCACATCTGTCTAGAGTTGTAGGTGGCAAAGCATTTCCACCAGCACTTCTTACCCCCGTCTGCTTCTTCAGCTCATCTGGAGGAGTTTGTAAGACTCCCGAGACCCAGACTGCACCAATAACATCAGAATCTAGGGGTGGTGGTAGGGGGCTGGCATCCGCCACTTCTGTGATTCCATGTGCGCTCGTGGTTGAGAAACCCTATGCAGTTGGACAAACTCTCCATTTTACAAATGAGAAAACGGAGGCTCAGAGAGGTTAAGCTTGCTCATGACGCAGACTGACGAGTTGCAGGGCAAGAAATCAAACTCAGGTCTGTTTGATTCCACTCAAATGCAAGGGCATTTCAGTTGCACTATACCTGGCGCATGAATTTCACGGAGTGTTGGGCCTCTCAGATAACAAGCTTCCTGTGCGTTTGCAACAAGATGGCTCTTTGACACACTACCATTCCAGCTAGTACCCAGGGTGCCTTTGCATGAATTCAAAGAGATGGCCCTCCAGGTGGGTAAATTCCAAAAATACTCCCTTTCCTCCAGGCTGACCAGCCCTTCAGGTTAAGTGTAGAGTGGAGTCACGTGTTTTTGTGCAGTACACAAACTGCACAGCTGTAGAGAGTGGCCCTGGCTCAGCCCTGAGAAAAGGTAGCGCAATCCCCAAAAGCATGGGCTGTGAAATTGTGAAAGATAACAGCGATCTCTACGCTTTCAGCAGATTTCTGGTACTTATTTCCTTACAAGCTCACTTGCTTCTGCATCAGTGCAAGTTGTCTTGAATTTCACTGTGTGATGAAACTCAGATCCTTCATTAATTTTGACAAACCACCCATTCACACTACCCATTTATGAATTTAATACCTTTACCTCACTTGGTTGCTCACTGGGAGAAGTTACATCACCATCTCAGGCCTTCCTCTTTCTCTCTGGCTTTTTCCCCCACCCCCGCCCCCTTGCTGGTAAAAACAAAAGGAATCCCTGTCTGTGTCTCCTGTGGAATGCTTTAGAACATGTCTTCTGTTGGTTGTTTTGTAACTGGGGGTGGAGGGGGAGGGGTGTCTTACCTTGCCTCCCAGTTCATCATATCAAAATATTTTTCTTGCAAATACAATGCTTTCCCTAACAGTAGTTCCTCTAATGAATAAAATTTTCTCACCTTCTATGCTATTTGAATTCAGAAGCCCACACAGATATAAAGCCCTCTGAGAAACGTGGCATGGAAACCCATTTTCCGCTCTTGCCGTGTTTGTGCATATGAGTTCATCAGAAGCTTTCTCCCTCCAGTTAGCTGGGAGCCAGGTGGGGCTAGAACACAGCGATAGGAGGACATTGGCAGGTGAAAGATGGGAGGGAAAGGGCTTCAGAAAAGGAGTAGTGCTGGTGCAATGGAACCTGGGGTGTGGAAGAGGAC